ATGTCCCTTCCCACCCTCCCCTGCCCTGGTGTTAAGAGGGTTTGTCCAGCCAAGAAAGCTGCTGTGCAACCGTCCTTTACTGGACCCTTCCTCCATGTCCCTGTCTGTCCTAGAGCCACATCCTCATCTCGCAGAGTCCTGGGTTGTCAGAAGGCAGATGTTATCTTTCCCCATTTTGCAGAAGAGGAACACTGAAACTCCAAGGAAACGAAGGGAAACTGAGCCAGGAGTCTTTGGCTTCATGTGCTCTGCTCCAGGACTGGGAATCAAGGGTACCATGAACTCTCCCTCCCCCAGGGTGTAGTGGATCCAGAATGGCTCTCCAAGATATCTGAGTAACTACCAGTCATTCTCCTACAAAGATCCCATGTCCCCCCACTGCCTCACTCCCACCCAGTCAACAAGTGCACCCTCTCAGCATCCCAGATTCCAGGGGAAAAGAAACCCAGACTGGAGACAATGCTCAGTCCCAGTGGGCTGCCCAGAGAAGGCGGGGCCAGAGGGAGTGGACCGGGAGTAGGGTTGGGGGAGGAGCGGGGTCAGAACTCACGCCCGGGGAGGAGGCTCGAGAGGGGCCAGTCTTCCAAAGAGAATGAGCCCATTCAGAGCTGGGAAGGAAGGGGAAAAAACCTTGTCTGGTGTTTGACAAGAGGAGAGGAAGGGGGGCAGGGGTGGGCGCTGCTGATTCGCTTCTCCCCTCAATTGCCTCTCCAGCAGGGCCTGGCAGGAGAGCCAAGGAAAGAGGATGTCTAAGGGACAGAGGTTGAAGGGGGGCCTGGGATTTGTGGGGGGGGGGGGGGGGGAGGGCTGCTAGAGGAGCCTGAGAGTTTGCCAGCAGGGTCCAGTGAGGGGCCTGGGGAGAGGGAGACAGCTTCAGGGCAGGGGGGTGACTGCCGGGCAGAGGAGAGCCAAGAGAAGGGCAGAGGGCAGATATATGAGATCTGCCAGAGGAGGTGCTGGCCTGCGGGCAGTGGAGGTATCCACTGGCACTGAGGTGGCACGATGGGGCTCTGGCTTAGAGAGGTGACCTCTAAGGATCAACAGGCTGGGGTCTGGACCCAGCAGCCTGTGAAATGCCAGTCAATCATTGACCAGCCACTGAGACTGGGGAACACAGGAGGCCATGTGTGTGTGTGTGTGTGTGTGTGTGTGTGTGTGTGTGTGTGTTGGCACCAGAGTCTCCTCCCTTCTGCCTACCTCACCAGCCAGCCTGGGGTCAGAGGACTGAAAATAAACAGAAAAAGGGAGGAGACGGTCCACAGTCCGAGGTTCAGGCCACAAACTGGTGCCTACCCCATAGGGCCTTGAGTCTGGGGCATGAGTTGCTGGGGAAGTGTCTATGAATTAGTTATTTGGAAGGAGTCCCCCAAGAGTGGGCACAAAGCCTCCCTGGGGCCATAGGAAAGTAATTTGAAAGCTTCTGATGAGAAAATCTTCCCTTCTAAAGTGGCCCTTTAAGAACACTTGCTACCTAGCCACTGGGAGCCCAGGGTTAGGCCTAGGCCCTCGGTAGCAAAGAGCAGAGCCTAAATTGACATACCAGACACACTACCCCTGGGCCTGCTGATCACCTCCCTCAACCCTTGTCACCCCATGTCAGGAATGCAGGCCCAAGGCCTGAGGAATCTGCCTTTCTCTCTCTCTAGGTTGCTTTGCTAAGACAGAATGCATTCTTGCGCCCTCAGCCTTCCCTGGCTTTAATGCCTATAGGAGAAGTACACGTGGTTTCCATCTTGGCCCATGGATTGTGCTCCCGTATCCTGTGCTGTGTGTTCGTGCTGGCCATCTAACGTGCGTCTCGGTTTATCTAGGGATCCTTTCTCAGATAGTAGCTGGGCTGTGTGGGCTTGAATAAGGCTTTCATTTTGCTGTGTGAAATATGAGAGTTGGCCTGAAGAGTTCCTGGTTGCAGTGTTTTAGACCTCGTGTGGGGGCAGCGACTCCTTCAACCCCATGCTTATTCCCTGAAAGCCCCACTGAGCCGCCCCTCTGCCAGATTCCAGGTTCCAGATTCTTTGTTTCACAAACACTGAGTTTTCCTGCTCTACTCAACCCTTCAGAACTCGGAACTCACCTGGCTTGCTGCTAGAGATCCAGACTACTGGGATGTGAATGAGGACATTTTTGCCTCTGGCTTTTGGTTTGGGGAAGAGGAGGCTAGGAAGCTTCCAGAAGCACAAAACTGTGGCAATCATGAAGTCCTGATTTGGTGAGGCAGTTTCAGTTTCAGATGATTTCATTCACTGGACCCACGTTGTTTTTCTGTTTTTGCTTTCGTTTTGTTTTTGGGTTTTTTTGCCCTTTACGTCCAGTAGCTCTTTGAGATCTATCGATTCCTCTGTGCTTTTCCCACCTCCACCACCAGCTAGACTAAACCTCTATCAGGTCAAAGCACTAGCCTTTGATCTCCCCGAATGCTGCTCTTGCCCTCTTTTAATCCTACCCCCTGCCCTCTTCACAGAATAAATGTTTTACTTTTTAACTTATTTTTTTTTTTTTATTTTAAGTAACCTCTACACCCAACATGGGGCTCAAACTCACAACCCCAAGATCAAGAGCTGCATGCTCTACCAACTGAGCCCTCCAGGCACCCCTAAAGTAAATGTTTTCAACATAAATTTCATTTGTTCCAGCGCTAAAACATCTCCCAGTGGCTTTCCATTGCCTAAGCTCTTCACTGTGACCCAAGACCTGACAGAATCTGGTCTCTGGCCTTCCAGCCACATAGGCTTCCTTTCTGTTTCTCAAAGATGCCAAAATTAGTTCCTGCCTTAGGGCCTTTGCACTGACTATTCCCTCAGCCTAGAACAATCTGCCCCCAGGTGTTAACAGGGCTGGCTCCTTCTGGTCACCTAGGTTTCAGCTCAAACGTCACATTTTCAAAAAGGCCTTCTCTGATCACCCAATCCAAAGTAGCTTTCTCCTCCCTCCCCATTCCCTAACAACTTTTCCTGATTTACATTATCCAATTCTATAACTCCACACATGTCACTACATGAAGCTGTTTATTTTGTTTTGTTTTGTTAACATTTTCCCTTTGTTTTTAACGGTTCATGTAATACAGGATGAGGCCTCCAAAATCGGAAGTGTAAAGGTTTTAAAAGAGCCCTATCTCTAGCTCGGATTACTCTCAAAGGGAGAATCCTGCTTTGTTAGGATTTCATCCTCTTTTCTAAATTTCCTATCTTATTTTTTTTAAGATTCTATTTTTAAGTAATCGCTACACCCAACAGGGGCTCAAACTTACAACCCCGATATCAAGAGTTGCGGGGCGCCTGGTTGGCTCAGTTGTTACAGTGTACCACTCTTGATCTAGGAGTTGTGAGTTCGAACCCTAGCCCAACGTTGGGTGTAGAGATTACTTAAAAATAAAATCTTAGGGGCACCTGGGTGGCTCAGTTAAGCGTCCGACTCGGACTCGGTTTCAGCTCAGGTTATGATCTCACGGTTTTGTGAGTTTGAGTCCCTTGTCAGGCTCCGTGCTGATTGTGCAGCGCCTGCTAGGGATTCTATGTCTGCCTCTCTCTGCTCCTCCCCTGCTCTCTCTCTCTCTCTCAAAAATAAATAAACATTAAAAAAAATTAAGACTTAAAAAAACAAAATAAAATCTTAAAAAAAAAAAAAAGAGTCGCATGCACCACCAACTGAGCCAGCCACGCAACTTAAAATTTCCTCATCTTTAAATGGACGTGCTCATTAAAAGATTCATCCCAGAATCATATTAAGGACAAAATGAAATAATGTAGTAGGAAAGGACTGGTCTATCAGACGCAAAGTAGTATTAGTACTAGATTGTTTCCCTGTCAGCTCCTGGAGGGCTGAGTAGTTGTTTTGTTCTTTTCAGTTTCCCAATCCGTATCAACTGGGTGCTCAACTCCAGGGGGCACTATTCATGTTGTACTTAACTTGAAGAGGCACTAATCACAGAAAATACAATGTGAATGGTGCACCCCTGAGCGCCATTCACAGTAAATACAATGTGAATGGTGCCTCCTGGAGTTGTGCCTTGCCTAGCCTGGTGCTAGAGCTAAGAACTCAGGAAATGTTTACTAAATGAATAAGTGAATGGAATACAATTTTACTTCATGTTCATTTCACTTCTCAATCAATATAAAAAGGAAAAGTTGACCCGGGGTGGAGAGTGGGAGAGGAGGAAAGGCTGTCATTAATCTACACACACTAATTATGCATCTAGGCTACAAGGCTTCCATGCTTCAACAAGATGGGCATATTTGTGTGTGCTGTGGTGGTGTAGGCAGGAGGAGTGGATGTTAAAGCAAGTATCCTATTCCCAAAAGTCCTTCTCTTGATTTTCCTTGAAATGTTACACCTCTTGGATCTCAGCCTCATCTAAATCACGCTGATGGATTTAGCACCCAATTTTTTAACATTGAATTATATTGTTCATTCATTTAAAAAGGAAGGAAGGAAGGAAGGAAGGAAGGAAGGAAGGAAGGAAGGGAGGGAGGAAGGGAGGAAGGGAGGGAGGGAGGGAGGGAAGAAAGAAGAGATGCGTTCTTAGAGCCTAACATGATACAAATTGTGTACTAGTGCTGGAAGAAGAGTGGTAAATAAGACAGCAGAGGTCCCCACCCTGCCTAGGGAAAACATACCACTGTATTTTATATCATCCTCCAGGTGTTACCTCCCTCGGAAGTGGTGTTTAAACTGAGCCTAGAAGGGGTGCCTGCGTGGCTCAGTCAGTTAAGCGTCCGACTTCGGATCAGGTCGTGATCTCGTGGCCTGTGAGTTCGAGCCCCGCGTTGGGTTCTGTGCTGACAGCTTAGAGCCTGGAGCCTGTTTCAGATTCTGTGTCTCCCTCTCTCTGACCCTCGCCTGTTCATGCTCTGTCTCTCCCTGTCTCAAAAATAAATAAAACGTTAAAAAAAATTTTTTTTAACTGAGCCTAGAAGAATAAGCACGCCTGAGACTACAAATGATACAGATAAGGCAAGGCCGGGAGGGTTGAGAAACATGGCCCCTTGGCTCTGGCACAGGGGCCAGATCGTACAGGGTTTGTGGAGTCATGATTTTATCCTCAGGTACTTGGGAGCCAGTAAAGAATTTTAAGAACAAAAGTGACAGGGTCAAATTTGAATTTGGAAACGGAACGCGGACTGGAGAGGACAAAGGTAGGAGGAGACAAAAGCCTCCCTTCCGGGAGACTCGGAAAGGGACTACTGCGGCAGTCTCGGCGACAGATGATGGTGATGTCTTTAACCAGGGTGGTGCCAGGGGAGATGGGGAAAGACATGGGCAGTTCCAGGTGCACTAGGAAGCGAAACCCGACGTGGGGGGGGGGGGGGGTGCTGGTGAAAGAATAATAACCGTACTTCAAATACAGAGACCATGGAGAAGAAACAAGACGTATATTGATAGAAAAAAGAAAAAAAAAAAACCAACAATTTATTTTGCTCCTTAAGCCACCTGGCCTCCCCCTTCTCTTAACCCTGCCGCCTCGATATATGCAGATGACAGTAAGACGAGGGGCGGGGCAGGCGCCCACAGCAATCCGGGAACTATTATTTAAAGTGCGTGGACGTCACCGGAGAGCAGAATAAAGAACACAAGGCACTTCCTGTTACTCCGGAAGTGAAGGCTCTTAAGCTGCTCCGCCGGCGGAGGGCCAGATTGAAGGGATGGCCGGGCGGACCGCGCAGCTGGTGCTGCTGGCTGGGGCAGCCGCACTTGCAAGCGGCTCCCAGGGCGACCGCGAGCCGGTGTACCGCGACTGCGTGCACCGGTGCGAGGAGCGGAACTGCTCAGGGGGCGCACTGAGGCACTTCCGCTCCCGCCAGCCAATCTACATGAGTCTAGCAGGTAAGCCCCTCCCCGCATCAAGCCCCGCCCCTCGCCTTGGCTCCGCCCCTTGCGCCCCCAAACAACCTTTGAGCCTTACCTTCTTCCCCCGGGGTCCGTTGTTGTGTGTGTGAATGGAGCCCCAGGGTGGTTAGAGCATCATCAGACGGTCTTACTTTCCCAGAAGCTTTCATGTTTCACTTTATTTATTCAGTCAAATGGGAAGTTATTTAATACTCCTGGGTACAGGCCCTAGAATGACACTGAAATCAGACCAGCATCCTGCCGTTCGGGGTCCCAGTCTGCACAGGGACATTAGCCTTCTCCAGTGCAAGGTAAAGGATGATTTGAGCACTAGAGGACCCTAGGGCAAGCAGTAGGAGCATATGGCAGGAAGGAATCGTTTCTTGCTTTGAGAGGGTAGGGACCGTGATCATCTTGGAACGTTCTGTGATAGAAGGGCTTCAAGATGGATACATTAAATTTGGACCTGTGGCCATAGTGGTCACCTGTCGTGTGACAGGTGTCACAATAGGTCAGTTAATTTTCACAGCCCTATAAGGTAGTTTCTCTTAACCCAGTTTTACAATGGGGAAATTCGGAGAGGTTAAGTGCCCTGCCCAAAGTCACACAGCCAGTAAGTGGTAAAGTGGAATTTCCAGTTGCGGCCTGTCCGACTACAAGTTTGTTCTCTTTACTATCCCTTTGCGTTCCAGAGCGAACGGAGAGAGTGGAGGCCCTGGGCAGATGTGGGCATATCCAGTAGCTTGGTTTACTCAGGGAGCAGGGTGCGGGGTGCCTGAAAAGGAGTATAGAAAATAAAGCTGGAAAAGGAATTTGGGGACTCAAAAGTCAGAGTGAAGAATTTGGGCTTCATTTTCATAGGACGGGGGTAAGATGGCAAGAGTTCTTCCCTGGCAAGTGAGAGCAAAGCCTGAATTCAGGAAGAGAAAACGTAAACCCACCTGTCCACTAATGAGTCCACCAGATGCCGAAGTTCCCATCTTGGTGAAAGGAGAAGAGAAAAACATCTCTGTTTGCTCATTGCACATCCCCGTCCCCTAAAACACATGCACACAAACACATACTTTTCTACCATCTCTCGTACATCCTAGCGGGAAGCCAGCATTTTGAGATTTCTTCTGGTCCTCTCCACCCTGCAGGCCCTCTTAGCCTGCATTTGAGCTTGAGTCCCATCTGCACTCTCTGTGCCTCCCGTGATAAGGAGTTCACCAGGTCACATTTCTCTGTTTCAGGCTGGACCTGTCAGGACGACTGTAAGTATGAGTGTATGTGGGTCACTGTTGGCCTCTACCTCAAGGAAGGTCACAAAGTGCCTCAGTTCCATGGCAAGGTGAGTTGGAGGGTCAGGAGAAGTGTATGGTGGCAGTGTGGCAGGAGTAAGACACCCCCCAGTTAGACCACACCATCCGAGCAGTCTGAGCTGTGGGGTGATGGGCGTGTGTTTGGGGCGGGTACCTGTTCTCAAAATCTGCTGGTTTTCATATCATCAGATGGAACCAATGTATCCTGGCTCTAGATTTAGAATAACAAGGTCTGGGAAGCTTTGTGGTCTCAGCCATGCTGGAGTTCTTAGGGTGGTTGAATGTCCTTGCTACGATGACAAATTTTCTGACCCTCCACAGCATGCTTTCTTTTGCTTTTTCAGTAGAAGTTCAGACTAAAATAGGAATACCCCCTCAGGTTGCCCAGTGAGTCATGGTTTGCTAGTGCTTTTTCATCCACTATGATTTTGTTCTGGACTATTGAGGTTGGCAAGAATTATTTTCCCCAATTTGTCAGAGGAAGCGGAGGCTCAGAGGCCTGTGGTCAGTGGTAGAGAAGGAGTATATTAGGATCTCTGTCTTCCTGATGGCAAGTCTAGGCTGTTTCTACCAGACCATACTGAGCCGTCTACACTGGCCCATCTGTTCTTCCCAGAGACCAGGCTTATAGTGCTGTGAGTGCTGGCCAAGATAGAGGGATGACCTTCAGCTAAGGACTGGAGGAGAGCTCATTGACCCAAAGAGGGACTATACGTGAGGCTTTGGCCGAGGGCCAGAGCTAAGGAGCCAACTGAGGACCTGTTGATGTGGCATGTCAAGGAAAAGCATGTTGGGCTAGCTGGGGGTTGCTTGCTGCTCAGGCCCCCTCCATGTGCTCCCTTTTCAGTGGCCCTTCTCCCGGTTCCTGTTCTTCCAAGAGCCAGCTTCTGCCATGGCCTCTTTCCTCAACGGCTTGGCCAGCCTGGTGATGCTCTGCCGCTACCATACCTCCGTGCCAGCCTCCTCCCCCATGTATCCCACCTGCGTGGCCTTCGCCTGGGTAGGTAACTTGGCAGTATTCCTGCTGTACGCCATCATCTAGGAAGGAGGAACTCTTAGATCCCCATTCTCATGCAACAGGAGCTTCCCTTCACCTACCTTCCCCTCTGATTTCCAGGTCTAAAATTGCAGCTGTGGGGTGGTCAGGCCTAGGGAGAACACAGGGAAGGTGCTGAATCAGACTTTACCTTTCTAGCAGAGTCCTAGGCCAGGATATTTGGAAGGGAGGGAGGAGGCCACTAAGAGACCCCATAGGGCAATTTACAAGCACAGAAGGGAGATGGGTGCTAGGGAGCATGCTGGGACCACAGGTCTTTCCGGGGCACCCCCCCCCCCCCCCCCGCCCCGAAGACTCAAAGCAATCTCAGTCCTAGTCCAGGTCTGGAGGTACGGCAGTCACAGTACTCTATGTAGAGCTCAGCCTGGTCTTAGACCATCCCTGAGAAGTCGAAATATGTTCCATGTGAGTATCCAGAGAGGGCTCTGAGCTTTACAGGTGACTGGTCAGAGAAGCCTGGAATTGTGTGAGAAACATGGACTAGGGTACACATATGAACTGTGACAACCTTGGGGGGGGTATGAGAGTAAGAGGTTGCAATCAGAGACCCCACTGTAAGCCTTAGGGAAACAGTCTGCTCATTTACCTTCCTGCCACCAAAGCAGCCATTAATTCATGTATTGAGCCTACTATGTGCTCGGCACTTTGCTGGGTGCTGGAGATCCAAAAGTATATACAAACAGACAGGGGGCACCTGGCTGGCTCAGTCATAGAGTGTGTATGTAACTCTTTTTTTTTTTTTTTTTTTAAAGTTTATTTATTTTGAGAGACACAGAGAGCAGAGGAGGGGCAGAGAGAGAGGGAGAGACAGAATCCCAGGCAGGCTCCGTACTGTCAGCACAGAGCCCGGTGTGGGGCTTGAACTCATGAACCATGAGATCATGACCTGAGCCGAAACCAAGAGTCGGATGCTTAACCAACTGAGCCACCCAGGTGCCCCTCTTCTTCTTCTTTTTTTTTTTTTTTAATAGACTTCACACCCAGCATGGAACCCAATGAGGGGCTTGAACTCACAACCCTGAGATCAAGACCTGAGCTGAAATCAAGAGTCAGATGCTTAACCGACTGAGCTACCCAGGCGCCCTATAGAACATGCAACTCTTGATATCAGGGTCGTGAGTTCAAGTTCCACATTGGAGGTGGAGCTTACTTGAACAAAACAAAACAAAGACAAAAACAAAAACAAAAAGTCAGGTTCCTCCGGTAGTAACCACACAAGCACACAATTGAACGTAAAAGTACAGTTCTGGGGAAAGTGCAGTGGAGATGTGTTGTTGGGGTGTGTGATGGGGTACTAGACCAGTACAGGGCAATCAGGGAAGGCTTCCCTGAGGAAGGGGCCTCTGAGGTAAGATTGGAATGATGAATGAATGTTAGCTAGGTGAATGCAGGGAGAGTAGGAGGCGTCATCTACATAGAAGACATAGAATGTGGACAGGCAGAAGAGAGTGAGAACCTGAAAGGCTAGGGGGTCGGCCATACAGGAAGCCAGGGAGTAGGTACGACAGGTAAGCAGGTAGACAGTGAATGGGGCTAGCCCATGGAGAGCCTGGGGGGCACATTAACACTTTAGATCTGGACTTGCAAAGCATCAGGAAGCAATGAGGGTCGGAGAGAAGAGGTTTCATGAATAGATTTGCTTGGAAAACTCATTCTGGCTACTGTGTAGCAAACAGATTAGAGGGGTAAGAGTGGATGCAGGCAGCTAGTTAGTTTTAGCATAGGGCACAGTAACTAGACTGGTGGGGGGGGGAAGGGGGGTTATTGAAGAGAACTATGTTTGAGCTATGTTTTGAGTTGACGTTAAAATTTTTCATTTATTTTATTTATTTAACAAACCCATGCATAGCTCTTACTGTACGTCAGGCACCATTCTAAGCATTTTATAAATATTAACCTTGTTAATCGCATAAATAGCTTATGAGATAGGTAGTATTATTATCCCGAGTTTACAGATGGAAACCAAGGGCTGAAAAGGTTAAGTAACCTGCCCTAGGAGCCAGAGTTTGAACCCAGGCATCTGGTTCCAGAGTCTGCACTTTTTTTTTTTTTTTTTTTAAGTAGACACCATGCCCAGCGTGGGGCTTGGACTCACTCATATCCCTGAGATCAAGGGTCACATGCTCTACTGACTGAGCCAGCCAGGTGCCCCCAGAGTCTGCACTCTTACTATCTTAGCTGTGTTGACAAGCCTCAGTCGTAGGTTAGATGAGGAAAGAGGAATCAGGAATAACCCGGTGTTCCCACTTATGAGAGAGTGATAGAAGCCATGAGTGTGCATGAGATCACCAAGGGGAGCTTAGCAAGAAGAGAAGGGATCTAGGATAGAGCCCTGAGGAGCCCCAAACATAATGATTAGATCAAGAAGGATGGGCCAGCGACAGAGTCAGGAGTGGCTGGAGGGGTAGGTGGAAAACTAGGATACCGTGTGGTTGGGAAGCCCTGGGACAAGAACAGGGAGGAGAGGGTAGGCCGTCCTCTTGAATTCTGCTGGACAATCAAGAGAACTTTAGGACACCCTGGATCTGGCCACCCTGAGGTCTCTGAGGACCTTAGGAAAACTGGTAGTGTGGGGGTGCTAAGAAGTCCAGGCCAAGCCTCAGACTTAGGAGCTGGGGATTGGAAGGAGGGCAGGGGCGGGGAGGCTGTTAAGCCTCTGGGAAATGTTGATCCCTCGTAATCTTCTCTGTTTAACAAATATTAATAATAAGTGTTATATGAATTGCGTAACAGGCATTGTCCTAAGTACTTTACATATATTTTTCTCATTCAATCCTCATAATACCACCGTGAGCTCTGAGTAAGGCTCAGAGAGGGAAAACCTTGTCAAAGTCACCAGCTCCCAAGTTGGTGACTGGTGGAGACAGGACTGACCCCAGGGCTGTCAGAGCACTTAGCCCCTCTCCTGGGCTGTCTCCATGATAAATGTCTGTTGAGCATTTGCTGTGGGTAGAGGCAGGAGTTTAGCACTTGTGGGAACTGAGGCACCTGCCTCAAGAAGCTAAGCCTGGTGGGAAGCGCTGGTCCAGCTGGCCCAGGAGGCAGAATGCAGGCAGAGCCGAGGAGGGCTCTGGTAGAGAGCCCTCGAAGTAGTAAGGTGGGGAGACGTGTCCTCTAAGTGGAGAAGCCTTCCAGGGAAGCCCAGAGAGGGAGAGGGCCTCTATCGGGGACTCACAGGCCCGATAAGGCCTAGACGCATACAGATGAGGGGAGAAGAGGTTGGATTTCTGCATTCCAGGCTGGTGGCCCAGCAGCAGCAATGGGATGGAAGCTGGAGGATGTGGGCACCGGGATAGGCAGCCTTGGAGAGGTCAGCCTGGCTGCGGTGTGGCTGAGTGCAAGGCGGTGGAGGGAGGTGAGGTGGCACAGAGAGGGCCCCGAGTGCTGAGGGGCAGGAGCTCTCGCATAGGCAGGGGGCTGGCATCCGCATGCCCTGTCACCGGCCCGGGGGGGATAGAACCACCACTTCCTGTTTAGGCCTCTCTCAGAGGAAAGAATTTGGTCCTGGCCAAGAAAGCAGGAAGGGCAGAGAAGCTGAGGAGAGTACACCTGTCCCTTGGGGTTCTTCCAGGGGTCGCTGCTTTCTGGGCCCACAGCCTGTACCCCCCGCCCCCAGCCCTGCCTGAGAGCACTGGACAGCCCTGCCTGCCTGAACTCACTGAACAAAGCTTAGAGCCTCCTTGGAGAGATGCACGGGTCTGAGGGACCTCAGAGGGTCCCAGCCCTTGCCAGTGGTCACGTCACAACGCTCGTCTTGATCTCCCTGATTCGTGGGTCTTTCATTTCACTGGCATGTGCCACTCAGCTTCCTTCTTGGTGAGGGTCACGCCTCCCAGTCCCCTTGTAGTCCAGTGTGACCGAGGACCCTGAGGGACAGAGCAGGAGATGTTAGATTGAGAGAGGGCAGATACCTGGGGCCCGTGTCTTAGGACATCCTACGGAATATGGGGCTCTGGGACATAGAACCTCCTCATGCTATCACTAGGTCCTTGAGGGACAGAGTCTCAGTGTCCACACTCCCTCTGATGACCCAGTCTGGATTGTACACTTGATCTTTAGTCCTGTGCGCCTGTGTTTATAGGAGGGAGGGATCCTGAGCTGAATGGAGGGTGTGGCAGTGGACTTTGTCTTGGGCTGGGTCTTCTGGAGCGAGTGGGGCTCCTGATTTCTGTTGGGATAGGACGGGAAGGCCTTTTCCAGGTTCAGTCTTGGGCAGTGGGGTGGGCAGGGGGTTCTCTCAGTCTTTTTTCCTGGGAAACGAGGAGACCCTGCCCCAGCAGGGCTGATGAAGCTGGCACCAGAAGGGAGCCTCTGCCTTGACATTTGGATCTGGGCTTGGGCTGGGAAGCTGCCAAAGCTCTGCACATCACAGACCTTTGACTTCAGGGAGCTGGGGGCCCCTGCTGTCCGTAGAGCCAGGAGGCCAAAGCAGTTTCCCTCCCCTTTGCCCAGTGAAGAAGGGTCCTGAGAAGTAGAGGTGAGAGGATGAGAGTGCCAGCAAAGCCCAAACCGTCTCTGCAGGATGCTTGATGGAGGTGGGGACTGACTGTGCTCTACCTCTGCTGAGGAAACTACCAGAAGAGACAGGTTGAGTCTGCAGCAGAAGGATGGTTAGACTTCAGGAAGGACTTCCCTTTGGTCAGAGAATGGCAGGAAATCAAGGAATCTTTTTTGATGGTGGAAGAAGCCATCTTTCCCCCAACTCCATCTGCCTCTTCCCCTCTTCTCTCTCAGGAGTGAAGCGGAGCAGTGTTGCCCTGACTGAGGCAGGGGATGAGACACTGTGGCCTCTGGGAGGGGGGCAGGGTGGCAGCAGGCGTCATATTTAACATTCTGCCTCCCCCACTTCTGAGACACTGAGCTATTTAAAGACCCACATGTCCCCACCACCACGGTGTCAATGACAGCCCCGAGCACTGGGGCTTAGCACTGGGGTCGAATTCCTGACAGATCTGGCTCATTTGGCATCCAACCAGTTTCACGGCTGTGATATTTTTGTCTCAATTTTCTTATTTTCCAACAGACTGAAACAGCCTCCCGCTCTCCCTCACCCAGCCTTCCCTGTCCCCTTCCATTTCCACCCTGTTGGCACCCTGCCCCTGGCCTCCCCCTTTCCTCAGTGTTTACACAAAGCTCCTGGGGCCCTGCTGGGCAGCCCAGCACCCTCCTGGCCTGTCTGATTGGCCAGCTACCATCTACCTCCCCCCATTCTGCTCAAGCTTGGCTGAGGAGTCTGGGAGCAGCCATACACTTGAGGCTTGGAACCTTTCCCTTCCTTCCCCGTCTGTCTGTCCCCTTTGCTTGAGTCTTGATTACAAACTCTGAGTGAAGAGAAACAGTATCTCTTCTGTGACTCCTGGGGGGAGACTGACATTTATGGGAATACCTACTATGTGCCAGGCAGCCGTAACAGCAGCTGTTTATTGAGTGGCTTCTTTGTGCCAGACATTCTACAGACATCATCTTCAGGACCCTCTTATGCAGTGGGTATTATTATTATTAACCCCATTTGCTAGATGAGACAACTGAGACTCAGGGATGTTCTTGGTTCAAGATCATACAGCTATTTAGGGGCTGAGGCAGAACTTGAATCCAGGGTCCGTCTTATTATGGAGGCTCTGGAAATTCTGCCTCTAGCACGAACAGTGGGGTGGGCCAAGGCAGCCGTGGGGAGACCACCTCTTCTCCCCCTGGACTCCTTTGGCCTTCAGGGAGAGTGGGAGGCAGACTTGGCCTCTTTAGCTTCAGGTCTGTGGAGAGATGTGAGAGTCCCATTCTGCTCAACAAACTGGGAACAAATAACACCCAATGGTTTACCCTGTCCTGGGCACTGTGCTATACATTGTGTTTGTATTGCTCATTAAATCCTTGTCAATACTATGATTATTCCCATTTTACAGAGGAGAAAACCAAGGCCCAGCAAGGCTAAATAACTTGCCCAAGGACACACGGGAAACGCAGAGCTAGGATTTGAACCCTGGTAGTCTGACCCTTGGCCTTGCATTCTTAATGACACTATCTCCCAAGTCTGAGGAGAGGGCCAGAAGAGGAGTCCCTCATAATGGGACACTTCCCAGGGGAGAGGGGACATTTCAGGGGTGCAGAGTCCAGGCTTCAGGTGGGTCTCTATAAGTGGGAGGCACCCTGGGGAGGCAGTTGGACAGGGGACCAAGCAGTTCCCATTCCATCCTGTAGAGCTAAGCCCTGACCCTGTGCTCCCTCTCCCCCGCTTCCAGTGTTCCAGCCACCACTTAGCTCAGTCCTCTTGTCACCTCTCCCTTCCTGCTGTGGGTGACAAGGAAGCCTGGTTGGCTGCCAGTCCCTGCTGCCTTCCCCTCCACCTCCCTCTCATACTGGCTCTGGGGCCATTCTCCACCCCAAGAGTGTCCCTGTTCCTGGCCTTCCCTGGAGACCTGGCCATGTGATCTCCTGGGCTCCGTCTCCAGCCCCAAGTCTGCTCCTCTCTCCATGCTGACCCTGAGCGTCACAGACCTCGTGGGAGCAGTGTCTGAGAAGCCACCCTGTTCTGTCCCGTTTTCCAGCCTCCAGACCATGCCTCATATACCGTCTCTGGGGAAGACCCAGGGATGGGACTGGATGGCCATCTTCAAAAGAGCAAGCAACCAGACTTAGAATAATCACCTGATGTCAGGGCTGGAAAGGGACAAAGGATCACTTAGGCTAGCTCCTGACTAGTCACAGGGGAAAGCTCAGGCCCAGAGGGCAGGGCCTTTGTCCAGGTCATGAGGAACATAAGCCGAGAGATTCAGCCTAGGACCCAGGCCAGACAGGCTTGCATGGGGCTTCCTGAGCTTCCAGAGACCTCTAGTGCTGACTGGCTTTGCACAGAGTCTTGCCTGCCTCCACCCCTTTGCTCTTCCCATTCTCTCATAAGCCCCTTCAGGCCTGCGATAGGGAACCCATCCCACTGTCTGACCCTGCTGCAGGACTGGAATGAGAGGCCTCTTCCCTGCTTCTTCTGTCCTGTGCCTGGCCAGTCTTCCTGCTGTCCTGGACCCAAGTGAGCAGCTCCTGGCCTTTACCTGTCTTTGGCAGGCCTGTCCCACCCTAGGGCATCCCTCTCTATCTCTAGGGCATTCTAGGGCGGACCTCAGGCTGCCGGTTTTTTTCCTCTGACCAGTTGTCACTAGTTTCCCAGCCCAGTGTAGGGAACCTCCACCTTAGCCCGCCCTTCTTTCAGTGATTTGGGCCTCTACCATGGATACAGCGCTGACTCCCACAAGGTCTAGGACTCATTTGCAAGATGTTTTGTACTGTCTCCTTGCAGTTAATTTCCAGGGAAAAGGCCTCGAATGGTCTCCTGGGCCCTTGCCCACCACAGCCCCTTCAACCTTCTGTTCCTCCCAGAGCCTCAGAGCAGCAGCCACTGGTCTGGCAGGTTGGGCTGGGCCACCCAGGAGGAAGCTGGGCTCAGTTGGCCAGCCTCCTCCATAGAGACTTGGCCCCAGTGGGATCTGCTTGATCTCCCTCCCTTGCTTGCTTTCCTCGGGACACACCCCAAGCTGGCTCGAGCCCCTCCACCCCACCCACTTCATTCCCGCCCCCAGAGGCTGAGGTCACTGGCTCCCCTGGCCAGGGTGGGGCTGTCATCACCTGCCAGTTGGGGGAGGAGGCAAGATCCCCCCAGGGGCTGTTGTCTTAGCGATTGAGTAAGCAGGGAACTTGGATGTGCCGGAACTGGGAACTGGTTCCCAGGCCAGGCCGGAACCTGTGGAGGCTGCAGCCCCCATGGCCCAGGGGGTTCAGGGTTCTGGGAAGCTGAGGGCACGGGTTTGTTCTGTGGGCTTCAGGGGCAAGGGAAATCATGTTTCTCTGCTCCAAAGAGCCCCTTCCCCAAAGAGAGACTCCTGTGAATGCTCTAGGGGTCCTCCCCACCTCGAGACACCATGCTTACCAGCCCCTCCCTACAGGTCTCCCTCAATGCTTGGTTCTGGTCCACAGTCTTCCACACCAAGGACACCGACCTCACAGAGGTGAGCACCCCTTCGGCCCCTCTCCTGCTTGGGACAGTCCCACAGGAGCCCAGAAGAGGTGGGGGTCAGCTCTTCGGGTTTCATAGGGACTCCATTTACAGAGCACTCGCTGTGTGCTAGGCATTTTTAACCTATTCGTGCCCTTGAGCGTCACTTGACCCTGGTGAGGTAGGTGTGATTATTGGCTCTTCTTAACTGATGAGGCAGCTGAACCTTGGAAAGGCAGAACTACTCACCCCCCCAAGGGTGCAGCCGGTTCTTGGGCGCAGGGCTGTGGGACTCGAGGCTGCGCTCCAGATTCTGTGGTGTGCTCATGTATTTTGGAGTCTTGGCAGGCACCTCCACCGATGCCTCCAAAGCCTCGCTGCTGAATGCATTTTAAAAAGTTGTAGAATATGAATACAAGGGCCCGACTGTTAAATTCAGGAGTGAACCAGCAACAGGCAGAAGGGGCACGAGACATGGACCCCCATGTTAGAGTACGGCTGCGCCTCTGCCCCCCCCTTCGCCCCCACCCCTGGTGGGTCCTCTGGGGGCCCTGCCCATACAAAACCTTTTCCGCCTCCCCTCCCCTCACACTGGCCCCTCACCCAGCTCTCCCCGTCCTCAGAAAATGGATTACTTCTGTGCGTCCACCGTCATCCTACACTCTGTCTATCTGTGCTGCGTCAGGTGAGCCCATCTTGGCCTCTGTGGGGGCAAAATCAGGCACTGGGGGCAGAAAGGGGTCACCTTACCCACCTTGGGGGTGCTGTCCCCAGGGTCTTGCACCCCAACACACACACACACCCTCCAGGCTGTTCTGAATGGGGGCTCGGGGGGTAGAATTGGCTCTTTCCAAGGAGCAGAGGCACTTGATCCCAGGCCCCTGGAGGTGGATTGGAGGCCTGCCCAGCTGGCTTGTTTTGGTGGGGGGAGGAGGGCAGTGGCTTCCACATACTGATGTCGGGGTGAAGGGATGTTTAGGAAATGCTGCCCTGGGCACGGGCCGCCCTCCACCTGAGCAGCTCTGGATGGTGGGGCAGGACCGTGGGGCTGCAGCACCCGGCTGTGGCCAGTGCCTTTCGGGCCCTCCTGCTGCTAATGCTGACCGCGCATGTCTCCTACCTGAGCCTCGTCCATTTCGACTATGGCTACAACCTGGCGGCCAATGTGGCTATTGGTGAGGCACCGGGGGGGACCTGAGGCTCCTGGGGTTGTGGGGGAGTGGGGGACCCAGCCCATCTGTAGAACTGCTGGCCTGGGGTGGAGGTATGGATTTGGTGCTGTTCCTGGAGAAGGTTCTAGAGAGCCCCTTAGGGTGGGGGAAGGGGAAAGAATTTGGGGTGGGAGAGAGGGGAGGCTGGCAGGAGAGTCTGAAGGTGGTCCTGGGGTCAAAGAGCATGAGGCTGGTGGAGGTTTTGTTGGGGGGAGAAGGAGGTCCAGGGAGTGAGCCTCTCCCCACCCCCCGCCCGCACCCAGGCCTGGTGAACGTGGTGTGGTGGCTGGCCTGGTGCCTGCGGAACCAGCGGCGGCTGCCTCACGTGCGCAAGTGCATGGTGGTGGTCCTGCTGCTACAGGGGCTGTCCCTGCTTGAGCTGCTCGACTTCCCGCCTTTCTTCTGGGTCCTGGACGCCCACGCCATCTGGCACATCAGCACCATCCCGGTCCACGTCCTGTTCTTCAGGTGGGTGCTGCTCCCTGCCCAGTGTGCACCTTCTTTGTGCCCATCCTCACCCGCTCCTTTGAGGAGACTGAGGCCTCTGTGCACACTGGCCCCCCCTGCCTATACTCACCCCCACGGGGTGCTCTCAAAGCCATACCTCAGTGGGCTCCTCCCTCTGCCCACAGCTTTCTGGAAGATGACAGCCTGTATCTGCTGAAGGAATCAGAAGCCAAGTTCAAGCTGGACTGAAGGCCCTGGGAGCGTGTCTGCCCCACTGGGGGTCCTGCCCTCTCCCCGCTGCTCCCCTTCTCCTCATAATCCTTGAGATGAATTTTTTTTTTTTTTTTTTTTTTTGCCTTTTAGCATCTTGAACTTGGACATGAAGGGTGTGGGCCCAGAATCATGTAACTGCCCATCCCCTTGCTTGCCCCCACATGGCCCTCCCAGGCCTTGGAGTCTGTTCAGGCTTGGCCTCTCAGCATCTGGGGTTAGAGAATGGGCAACCTCTCTGGTTCCTGGAGCAGAACTGGTGTAGAACTGTGTTCTTAGCTCCACCAAGAGGAGAGCTGCCTCTGCCTCCCCATCAGCCTCTTCCCCACATCCCCTCAGTGCCTGGGTGGTTCCCACAGCTGTTTGTCTATCTGGGAAACCAGGTACCACAGGCCTTTGGGGACAGTGGGGTCCCCTTCTGTTACCCCCCTGCCCTCCTCCAGGGCACCACTAGGTGGCACTAGACTCTTGCTCTTTGGCTACCCAAGTTCCAAGGTTGGTCTCATTCTCCCCATGGGATCTTGAGGGACTAAGCCCCTGGGACTGGGGAGTGGTCTTACCCTGACTGTTGCTTCAGCCAGACCCCCCCAAGAGGCCTCACTATGTTCCTTCCCCCTTCAAGGCCAGAACCCCACAGAGCCCAGGACGGGAATCCCTCTGGCTTCTCTGCTGCTGTTCTGGTTGAGAGCCTGCACATGAATGTGTACGGGAGTGTGAACCAGACTGAGTGCATAGGTGACAGAGTGGTGGGCACGGGCCTGAGGTGTGTGGGATGCTGGGTGGGACAGTGTGTATGAGCGTGGGTGGAGAGTGGGGTGGGGTGTGAGTGGTTTTAAAGTGTGTGCTGCAGGACAGGTGGGTGAGTGTGAGTGCCATGAGTGTACCACACAGTGGGGGCAGGTTGGAGAAATATGGGGTATCGAGTCACTACCACCAAGTACCTATTGAGCGCTAGCTCTGCACAAGGCCCCAGGCCAGGCAGAGAGCCAGGATATCCTCAAAGTCTGGCTGGGGGTACGAGTGTCCAGGCTGCATGTGTGTGTTTCTGTCCATTGCCCCCACTTTACAGCCCTCCAAATCTCGGAGGGCCCACACACAACTCAAGATTACCCTCCAGAACCAGCCTCTTGGGAGTCCGAGGGAGGTGGGGAAATGGAGATCCTCTGCGCCTCTCCTGCCTTCTGTCTCCTCGCCTAGGCTTGGTTGGCCTTCCCTTCCCAGAGTAACCTACCTGCTAAGCCCCTCTGTCACAGCCTGGACCTTGGGAAAGGGGGGCAATCTGAGGGAGCAGGGGAGGAGGATTGTGGCTGGGTCTGGTTTCTGGCCTTCCCAGAGACAGGCAGGGGCCACGCTCTACCTGCACCCCAGTAAAGGTGACCCCTGCTAGTTGCCAGCAGCCCTGGCACATTCGTGCTCTGCAAGGATAGAACTTGAAGCTCCAGAAACTTTCCATCCAAAGGCAGTCTGTGTGATTGGAGCAGGGAGTCTGGATTCTTGTTCTTTCCCTGCCCTCTTGCCCTCCCTGGAGTCGGGGCACTGTACTAGGACTCCAACCTCAGACTCGGGTGACCTGTGGTTTGTTTTTTTTCTTTTTTTATATTGAGAACTATTTTAAGGTGAGAGAGAGGGTAGCAAGGAACATTCTTAATAAACAAATTCTCAGCCTCACCTACCCTTGTTCAGCTCATTTGTGTGAGTAGTGTGGGCTTGGAGGGAAGGAGAAGACACCTGGCTGGAGGCAATAGGCAGGTGGGGTCTCTACCTAGGCACTGGGGGTGGGGATGGCAGGGACCAGATGCAGAGCAGCAGCAGAGCTGGGCGGAGCTCCAGTCCAGGGGGAGTGGGCTCTGGGAGAGGGAACTGGTGCCTGCATTGTAACTCCTTCCCCCTGCACTGTCCACTTCAGTCTCCTGATTATCTCCCCACTCCTCCCCTTCTGGCCTGAACTAGGCTCCACTACTGTTTGTTACTTAACCTTCCTGAGTTTCACCTGCAAACAGGACAATTGGACCTGCTGAATGTGAGGGCTGAAAGGACCTAATAGGTGCCTGGCACATAGCAGATGCTGAATGAATACCCGCTGACCTTGGCTTTCCTTAGTTTGGGAAGAATGAGTGGTAAAGAAACCTACCTTCATGGAAGCTTCTGGAAAAAAAAAAAAAAGGCTAGGGTTGGTGGCTTTCACACCCCCACAACCCTAGAGAGAGCTCTGGGCCCTTGTTTCCCAGAAGAGCCACACACAGCTGACACTCAGCAGGAGGAACTGATTTCTTTATTAGGTGCCACCACAGATGACAGGGAATCTGGATATATGAGAGCCATCAGCACAGGGTGCACTGGGCCATCACACCCCCACCTTCTTCTGGGCCCAGGCGAAGAAGATGCCCTTGACATCGTCTACACCTGTCTGAAGGCAGGCAGGCATGACGTAAGTGCGCAGGTCCCGCACCTCATAGCCGCTACGAACCAAGGCCTCCACCACCTTCTCCTTACACATGGGTACCACCACCAGCCGGGCCTCCCCAGCCAGGTACCATGACTCCTCTAGGGCCCCGATGAGGAGGAGGTGCCCCCCAGGCCTCAGCAGAGTGGTGATGTGGTCCAGGGCCCTCTGGAAGCTGGCAAGGTCTGGGCTTACAGCCTCCAGGCAGAAGGCAGAGACCAGGGCATCGGCAGGCAGGGGCGCCAGGCTCCCAGCACCCAGGGGCTGGGGCTGGTGCACATCGATGTGCAAGACCCGCTTCACCCTGGCTCGCAGCTGGCGCTCCTTTTCCTGCCAGGGCTCGCTGTGCAGGGGCAGAAGGCAGGGTCAGGACCAGGGCTCAGGGCCGCCCCACGTTCAGTCCTCTGTTGCCCCCCTGCCAGCCACTCCATGGGAAGCTCCCTTACCCCTTGCCCTCAATGAGGCAGACGTGCTGGCTGTACATGCTCCAGTCGAAGGCCCCGGGCTCCTCCCGAAGCCAGAGCCCCAGCTCCCGGCGGTTCACCTCCAGAAAATCTGTCATGGTGATGTCCTCAAAGTGGGTGCAGGCGCTGAGCAGCTGATATATGGTGGGGCCTGAACCAATGTCGATGAGGGTGTGTCCAGACACCTCACCTGGGAGGGCGCAGGGGAAGAGGGTCCTGGTGCCAGCCCTGTCCAAGCATCCCCTGCCTGGGTCACTCTCTCCCTTACCTGCTTCTCCCTCCCTCATTCCCTTCCTCCTCTGTAAAGTGTATCTCCATCTGGAAGACACATTAGCTAACCTGGATCTGAGTCCCCCCCACCCCGTCCAACACAGACTGACTTGCCTTGGGAAAGGAACTTAGACAATCTGAGATTCAAGTCCCACATCTGCGGAACTGTCCTTACAGTGAGACTTAAGTGGAGAAATCCTACAGTGACGGGCAGTCCCCCACCAGTTGCCTCTTCCCTCCCCAATCTCTGCTTCCATCTCTTTTCTTGGCGTCTCTCTTCATCTGGGGCCCTTTCCTGCATCCCCCACTTCACCTCTCAATTGTGAACGATCTGCTCCCCCCCCC